TGCCTCATTTCAGGATTTATAGAACTAAGGAAAGGACCAAATCAAACACTCTTTAAGTCACTATGAGTGATTCACCTAATACTTTCTGGGTTTCTGGGGTATACCCTTGAGTATTGAAGCCCTGTGTTTACAGAAAGATCCCACCAGGTTATTGCTGTTTGTTGTATGTTTGGGCAGGGGAGTTGAATTTGAATTTTATGATAATCTCAGTCTTGAAGCCAAAGATACTTAAAACATGGTTAGCTCTCAAGTGCACTTTGCAATTACATGGAAGTCTCAATGAACTGTTCTGACTGGGACCAAACCAACCAAACCTATTGCTGTGGTGTTGATTCCAACTCATAGCGACCCTGTAAGACACAGCAGAACTACCTTATAGGGTTTCCAAGGCTGTGAATCTTTATGGAAGCAGACTATCTCATCTTTCTCCTGCAGAGTGACTGGTGGGTTCAAACTGCCAATTCTTTGGTGGGCAGCTGAGCACTTTAACCATTGTGCCATCATAGACCCTTCTGACTGGGACAGGGTAGCAAAAATTAGAAAGACAGAAACAATTGCCTTTGGTGGCGTTCTCACCAGAAGTCCCGAATGCTGATCAATCAAATTCACTGTTGTTTGGACCAGATGTTTCTGGGCTCCTCAGCTAACAATCCATCTTGCCCTGACAATCAAATTTGGTAAATCTGGATGACCAGGACCTAGGGAATCTTGTAGCTAGAATGGAGTGGAGAGATAATTTCCACTTCTTGTTTTGTTAACAGAAGAAGAAACTAAGCCTAGAGTCACCTATCTGGTTAGCAAGAGAAGTAGAGCAAATAGGAACTGGCTTACCAGTCCAGGGTTCTTTCCACTGGAGCACAAGGTTAAATCTTGCCCTAGCTGGAAGGAAGGTTTGAGCCTACCTTGCATGCTTCCTTTCTTGGGTATGAAATTAACAGTTTTTGGGTTTGCACCTTGGTGACTTAAATCCTTGGGCTGGAAATATAAGATTTATGGTTGGGAGAAGAAATAATCCTTTCCTTTCCATTATCTTTTCAGGAATGAAGAAAATGCCAAACTAGACTTTAAGCTTTTTGAAGGTAGAAATAGGGCTCAAGGATTACCCTAGTATATGTATTCCCATAGTGCCTACAAGGTGGATGCCACCCCCAGGGGACCAAGCCATTCACATCAGCATTATCCTTAGATGTCTCCTCTGATAAACCTTGAAAGGCTCTGTTTCCAGTAGAGACAGCAAGCTTCTAAAAAGAGGAGGCAAATCAAATCAAGTCTGGAATTCAAAGCCTTCTCTAGCATGGCCAAGAGACAAACAAAGAAAGGGAGTCCCTTTCCATACATTGTCAACACTCACAGGGTCCATGTTCTTATTTGTTCCTACAGAGTAAAATTAGGTTAGAAATACCTACACAACAATAACTTTCATTTTTTGGCTATTTTGTGTGTGTGTTGGGGGAGAGGGATGGCCACTTTGGGAGAAAATAATTCCTTTGTGGCTTCTGGGAAGGGAAAGGTAAAAATGGTGGAGTAATATTTTTCCCATGCTGGGAAGTACAAGCTACAGATTTCAAACTAAGAGGAAATAAGGAGGAAACTTTCAGTTGTATTTTCACTAGAAAAAATCCACAACTTATTTCTGACTCAAGTCCTGAGACCTGCCTTCCCCTTTTCCTACTGAGAGGAATGAGACTGCTCAGAAGCTGCAATTGAACTGACTTAATGGGCAACACAGACTTTATATTTTGTGCTTGAGATATCAACATCTATTGACTAGAGTGAGCTATAATTCAGAAGCTGCCAACTTGAGCACGACTTTTACCGAGGCCTGCTCCAGAAACTCCAGTGAGACTTGATTTTCCCCCTGCTATAATTTTCTTCTTTTCAGACTTTGTTTTTATCTCAGGAGCCATTCTTCTGAGTCTTCTCATGACCAAGGGGTTTGTCTGGTTTCTCTGGCCCCTAATGGGGAAGGCTGAAGTCCCCACATACCACAAAGCAAGATTCATTGACCTATTAGCAGGCCCATAGGGAGGCATCTCAAACCATCTCAAACACCCCTACCAAACAAGAGGCTAAACCCTCATGAATTGTCTGATTTGGCCTTTTATATGGCTTTATTCTTAGTGCCGAAGGCATTTGACTGCTAAGCAGAAGGTTGGAGGTTCAAACCCACCAGCCACTCCTCAGAAGGTAGATGGGGCAATCCACTTCTGTAGAGATACCGCCTGGAAAACCCAAGGAGGGGTTGCTATGAGTCAAATCAACTTGATGGCAGTGAGTTTGATTTTTGCTTTTATTCTTAGCATATGATTATCTTACATGGCTAAGTGGAAACATTCTAGGTAGTAAGACATCTATTTTTCATGATTCCTAAGGATATGGACATGTACCTTCACCCAGGGCACAATGAGCAAGTAAGTATCACTAAGGGGAGACAACCCAATGGGCATCTTCCTGGCCATGATGATCGAAGACCTAGAGCCAGGAGACCATTGTAACTGAATTAGGGACATATTGAGCCCACCACTGATGTTTTGAGACCTCAGGCTGGGGAGACAGGAACACAGTAAGAGTTACCATGCATGTAAATAGGGATTAGGGAAGATAGGAGTCACAACAGTAGACAGTTTTGCTTACGAAAGTACGAATTGAGACTAAATAAGGTATGACACAAAGTGATTAGTAATGGATCAAATCTTCCTGGATGCAGTTAGTAAATTCTTGACCTTGGAGAAGGGCATTGGGGTACTTAATTTCCTAAACATCGCGTATCTAAAAGCTGATGTTCCAATAAACATTCCACTGTCCCTAGATAGGACCAGGCACAATAAACACAGAAATCAGAAAGAAAATCTAAAAAGTGAGAATCTACAACTCTAGCAGACAAAGGGGTGAAAAATAACTGGCTGTGTGAGGAGGAGGTCCGAAGAGGGCTTGTTTAAGTATTCAGGAAAAGCAGCTGGCTTCCCAAGCCTGTCTCTCAACAGGACGTCTCACCCCAGGGCTTTCCCAGTTACATTTCCTTCTTAGAGCTCGTATTTAGTGAATCCAGCCTTGCTTTCCAGGTTCCCTAGACTGCTCACCGAACAGTACCCTAGACCGTACTTTTTACTCCACCATAAGTTTCTTCTCTGCTACGATTCTCCCACACCAATTCCATCCCAGATCCTTCTACCTAGGCCTATGTCTTTCTCTCCAATCTTATCAACCAAAGCCACAGTTCCTTCACTATTGGCCCAGGGACCCCTCTCTGCTTTTCTCTACTCTATTACTCTGTTCTCGAGGCACTTCCCGAAGGTGCCTTGCACACGCCAGCCCATGGCTTGTACTCAGTCGTCTGCCCTGACCCATCTCCCGCCCTTTTAGGACCCCCTCAGTTCCTTGCTACTTCACCCCCAGTCTTCGGGCCTCGCGCCAAGATTCTCCCTTCCCCGCTACCCCAGCCAGATTCCTCCCCTCCCGCCTCAGCCCACCCGGTGACCCTCTCTCCCCGCCCACGTACCCCCTTGCTTCACGCCCCAGCCCCTCAGGCCCCGCCCCCCGCCGCAGAGGGCCCGCCCCCCGCGCTTCGTCCAAGCCCCGCCCCTCACTCACCTGAAGCTGCTCCGCGCGCGCGCAGGCGGGGTGGGGGGGTGGTGGTGGAGGAAAGGGGATGGTATTGGGAAAGAGGGGGGCAGGAGGGCGGGCGTCCCCCACTCTGGCCCGGGCGGCCCAGTGCGGGGGGGAGTGGGGTCACTGAGGCGGAGGCAGCCGGGCCGGAGCCATGACCCGGTCGCTCAGCGGCGGTGGCGGCTCCATCTCCATCAGCGACTTCACCTGAGGAGGGACGGGTCCCCCCCC